CACTGCTCTAGAGTAAGCCTTCCCTAACCTGGTGCCCTCCCATCAAAGTAGGACTGTAGTGCCCATGATCCCCCACTGTGAGGCTGGGGATGCTGGGAGTTGTGGTCCTAGTTTTAGTGGAAAGCACTTTGGGTGGGAGGGGAAGGCTGGTTGGTGGGGGTGTCTTCTCTGCCCTCTAAAAATCAGGCCAGTAAACTCCTCTTTCAATAGATGGGTTCACTGATCAAGAGCCCCCTTAAAGGGGCAGACTATTGGCTGAGAGAGAACGATACCGACATTAATTATCCCCAGAACAACCTGGCAAGGTAGATTAGTCAGTGAGAGAGTGAGTGACCCCAAATCACCCAGTGAACTTCATCGTTCAATGAACCCCGGATTCCCCAGGCTTAATTCATCATTCTAACCACCCCACCATGTGGTTCCTCTCTCTTACTAAACATGCCTCTCTGGGCCAGATGTGGCTCCCTGCAGCATTCGTGGCCGGTCCAAAGCTGTTGGACTACAGCTCCTATCACCCCCAGCTGCTTTGGCATTGGCCTGCTGGCTGGGGATGATGGGAGGTGTTGGCCAACCAAATGGAGCCCACCCTGCAGTAAGCGGGTGGCCACCTTTTGCTGAAGCAAATTTGGGGCTCAAAGGGTACAGCGCTGCAAAGGCAGACACGGTTCCCAGCTGTTCACAATCCTTCACATTTTTGTTGTGTGTTTTTTCCCCTCTTCACAAATATTTTGTGCACATATTTTCTAACTTCAAATATGACTTTGATCAAAGATGTCCAGCTGTCTGCTCCAAAATTAATTCCATCCACGCGCTCTGCTTGTCAAATCCCAGACGGCTATGTAGCTAACAAGATGTCCTGTAAGGATGAATTCACACAAACCACAAGCCATTATTTAACCAAGATGTATGGAACAGGTCACAGTGGTTGGGCTCCCACAGCGTGGCAGATCGAAGCCAAATAAGGGCTTAGATGACAGGAAAACAACCTGTGGCTCTCAGGACTCTTTTTTTTTTTTCCCAGTTTCCAGAACCCCTCCGATCATAACTGCTTTTAAAACAATGGCTAAAAATGCCATTTTGCAGTGGGAAGTAACTGGAAATTGTATTGAAAGCCTATAGTACACACATCACAACTTAGCACAATAAGCAAACCAGGCTTAAACCAAACGATTTAATTGTATCAATAGTTCCTCTACCCAAAATGGGTAGTGCTGTACATAAAATTAAACATTTGCGACTCTAATACAGCATCACAAATTAACCAGTTTTTTTCTGCCCTCTTTTTCTAACTATAATGATGTTAATAATGCCTTCTGTTTTGGACTTGACAGCAGATCCACCCAAAGAAAATACTTAGTATGGCTAAAAAAAAAAAACAACAACCCTGGAATATGGAGTGGAATGTCATGAACAGAAGGACTTTACATTGGAATATTTTGATGCAGTTCCAACTTGCCTTCCTTAATCCAGATATTTTATCATCTGGAATTTGTTAAACACATTTGTGGAAAAGCCATTCTGTACATGTACAACTATGGTAAATATGGAGTGGAATGTCATGAACAATATGGAGTGGAATGTCATGAACAATATGGAGTGGAATGTCATGAACAGAAGGACTTTACATTGGAATATTTTGATGCAGTTCCAACTTGCCTTCCTTAATCCAGATATTTTATCATCTGGAATTTGTTAAACACATTTGTGGAAAAGCCATTCTGTACACGTACAACTATGGTAGGTAGGTAGGTAGGTGGATGGATGGATGGATGGATGG